GTGTTACACAACTGTGCGAACTTTCTCATGGTGCTTTAAGTTCATATGATAAAGGTTATCAAGTTCATTCGATATTTTTAGACTTTCAGAAAGTGTTTGACAACGTTCTATGAGCTTTATTATATAAATTATCTTTTCTAGGTCTGCCTGCATCTGTTCTTGGTTTGTTGAGGGATTTTTCATCTTCTAGAAAACAGTCCGTCCAAGTAAATGGTTTTTCTTCATACATCAGCATAACTTCCGTTGTGCCACAGGGTTCGGTTTTGGGTCCTTTACTCTTTCTGGCCTATATGACATATATTATTGATTTGTCAAATATGCTAACATTGAACGTGAGGCTGTACACAAATTATTGCGTTATTTATAAATCAATACACAGTATGGATGATATTTGTGCTTTACAACGTGATCTTGACACTGATGAGGTGGTGTGAGAAATGAAAGATGCATTTGAATGTAAACAAGTATTGTTTCTTTAGTTATAACAGAAAACATAAACCCTTTCACTCATCCTACAGCTTGTCAGAAACGCAACTTGACTGTGTTGAACATTTTAAATACCTTGGTGCATACTTGTCTGCCGATATATCTTGGAATAAACGTATAGGTTACATAACTGGCAAAGCCAACGGTGTATTTTATTAAATGCAATTTAAAGTCTACCCTAAAAAGTCTGGAAGAAGCTGTCCAGTATGGGATCCTCATGGTCAAACTCCAACCTATCAACTTGAACACATACAAAACCAAGCTGCACGCTTTGTCAGTGACAATTACAATTTCAACTCCAGTACTGACTGCATTAGAAGTGACTAAGAATGAAAACTTATTGAACAGGGCAGGAAATTGCTGTGATTATTGTTTTTTTCATTCAAGCTGTCCTGATTAAATTCACATTAATTAAAGTTTACACATGATGAACCCATACTATGTATGACATAGACACGATCACTCGAAAAAAATCTGCGAGTTCATTTGTCGCGCCGGTGTCTTTGCCAATTTTTTTTACTTTTACTACTCATGAATGGAATAAGTTGGATGCATGTGAGGTCGATCTTCCAGCCGATGCTTTTTGCTCATCACTACAAGATGTGTGCTTTTCGTGAATCCGCAGAGACTGCTGCATGAATGTGTGCCTTTTTCGACTGTACAACTGCTCTTTCTTTCTCACAACTTAGAATAATGCGATGTATTTGCACCAAAAAATGAAAATAAATAAATTCCCCCGTATTGTTTTTTCTTCTTTCTCACGTCACGCACTGACGCGTTAAGCGTACGTCTGGTTAGGCCCTTACGGGAGGTGAAGATGGCGAAGACCGCGCAGTCCTTCATGATGACAGTTCATTGAATCACCAGACAAACTACGACCAGCTACAACAGCTTTGTAGTTGATAAGGGCTCTAAATTTGTTTGGTTTGCCGACTTCAACCTCTCAAAGCAACACAGATGTTTTGGGATGCGTCCTAGTGTAGGTCTCCGGTTTAATTTCGATTACGGCATATATATGGCAGCACACCCCTGGTTACACAACAAACACGCACACAAGCGGACAACACAAGCACTTTGAGCACACGCTCGTCGTGTAACCTGGTGGGCGCTGCCATATGCACACTGACTTACCAGCTAGCCAGCAAGTACGTTTGAAGTAATTTTGATTATACCTCGATTCTTCAACATACAGCTAAAATGAAGTAAAGCCATGTTTCTTCTATATCGCTGACACAGTAAGCCAGCCACAGGGACGAGAAATCGATCAGTCGACCTTGCACATGCGTTAAGAAATAAAACGCGGGGTTGCCAGTAAGCCACTGTGGAGGGTCAGTGAGCAGCTGTAAAACTTGACCACTACAGAAGCCAAACGCTGGGAGGGAGCCAAACACTGAGGCCGAGTTGAAGACGAGTGGTCATGGTGCCACACAGCGCATGCCCTCCCTTGGACGAAAAGTCACTAAACGGTGTGGTAGAGTCTTCAATCTCAGAGGCTTCCGCTCTGGCGGGGCCTGTAGTCCTGGATCCCAACACGAAGCTCTGCCTCCCTACCATTATGGCAGAGGGCAGCACAAGAATATGAAAAAGGCAGAATTTGTTTTTTCATGGCTAGACCATCACAGAATCATTTCAGAATAATATATCAACTTATGTTTTATAGGTAACCCTACGTTGAATTGCGAAAGTTAGTTTTTATTTGCCATATCAAAAGCTATCACTACGTATAATGATGCAAAAAAAAAGGAGGGGCCCTTTTTATGTTTTTTCTTGTTCCCACTAGATTTTGCCTTTTCCTGTCAATGTGGTTTCCATTCAAGTGTGTTTTACAACCAGGACAATCATTTCTTGTACTGTTGGTCGTTTTGCAGCTAGACTTTGTAGGCGACCCGAGTCTTGTCAAGCTACCGTACTGTAGCCTTTTTTTGTTACCCCCTTTCTTTTAAATGAGAAATGAAAGTTGATTCATCGATTGAATTGAATAGAGAAAAAATATTGAATTGGCAAAAATGAAAGAACTATGAAGGGGATGGGAAAAGGTCATTTCTTTTTCTCGAGGGCACGTCAGCCCAAGACCAGTGCATTGTAGCAATGCCACTTCCAATACTCATGCCTGCCTGAGATTTCGGTGACGGTCAGAGAGACAGCTTATACTAGGCTTGTGCGAATATTTAAATGCGTCGAATATTCGAGCGAATAGTTGAGTATTCGAATTCGCTTTGATCGGAATTTAAATTATCGAAGTATTTGCAATGAACGAATAAATAGTAATCTGCATGTCACCGCCTGTAAAGATGGTTTCACTGCAATGCAGAAGTGCTGAACAGTGAAAACATTCATTAAAAAAGTTTGCTTTGCCGTGAAGCCCTCCTTTAAATTTAAAGGGACCTGCAACACTTACAGAACATGGTAAGAAAACGCTGCCGATCGGTAATCGAGGCTACCGAAAACACGCGAGGCAAATATTGTAGCACAGCACGTGGCCTGTAATTCACAATAGATTTTCAAAGCTAAAAATTACTTTCTTTCCTCGGCAAATGACACTACAAGCTCAAAAATCACTTGTAACAGCCAGGAAGAAATATACGGCTCTGGTCACAGGCATTGGCTGATTTCAGCATGGTGCCCTCGTCGTTGCCGGGACCGCAGCTTGTCCATGAGTACATGCGATCGCACTGAAAAGCCGTGTATTCGAAGAAAAAAAAAAAAGAGGTTCAAGGTCGCGAGGTGCATGTGGAGTATTTTCTTTCGCCATGCCAGTCCTCCCTGCCTAGCTTCCAGCTATTTTGTGAAGACAAGAAGAGAGAATGCAATTGCAGCGTGCGAGAAATTTTTTTAAACTCTGCTCATACTAGACTGATTCTAGAAACTTTGCAGCAGTAAATTTGTGAGGGTTTACTGGCTCCGTGGCTACTTCAAAAAAGTATTGCAGGGCCCCTTTAAAGGCACGTCCTACCCTCAAATCAATTTTGCATTTCATTAGGCTCATTATGATGGCTTATATGATCCAAGTATAACAAATTTTTGAAAATTAAGTATCTTACAGGTTATTTCTCACATCTTGCAGAAACTACTACTCAAGGTTGTTCCGACTTCCTTTGAACGAAAAAATAAACGGCATTTGCATACAGCCCCTAATTCAATTCAAAAGAAATATTCTGCAGGTTAGTTGGGTCATGATTAATATTCCTTTTTTTATGTCATACATACCATTCCAATTCGAATCAAAATTATTTGATCAAAATCACTATTTGCTCCGAATTCGCTTCGAACCGAAAATTCACTATTCGCACAAGCCTATTTTATACACATTATTAGTGGGGAGACAGTTTACACACATTATTAGTGGGAACAGCTGCTTGTGAGAAGTGAATGGCAAGACTAGTACGAAGTTGAGCATAACACATCGATACAAAATACTAGTCCAGTGTTATAGTACACGTGGAGTTGGGGATAAGGGGTCTTAATCCCATCAGGAACAATACATGCCAATAAACGTGCCATTGTCTCAGCCCTGGGGATCCCTACTTTCGCTGAATAAAGCTCAGCTATGCATGTTGGAGTAGATGACCCCTCAGCGGTGCTTGCCCTCAGAAAGCCATTGCTTTGTTTCATACTGCCTCAACCTGTTGCCATCTTCTTTTATAGTAACTGCAAGTTAGCTTCTTGTTCTTTAATGTTAAGTAATCTTCATGTAAGACAGCACCAATTGCTGTCCTTTCAGGGTAAGCCATCTTATCCTTCTTTTATTTTGTTTATTATCTCAACGGCTTTAGCCAATATTATTTTTGCTCATTTGTCCGAAGCTTTTCAAGTAGGAAGACTCGAGGCTGTTTGGAACAAAGTCAATGCCCGAGCTCTAGAACTCCACAGTTATCATGTTCCTATTTTAAGTGCTGTTGGTCTATTTTGTGAAACTAACTTTGCCTGCCACAAAGGCACGAAATGAAGCAAGAAACCACTCTTTTCTCTGCTGTATTTATACAAGGCAGGCAAGTGTTGTGTATGCCTTCCTACAATGTGGTTGTTTTTTTTCCTCTTTTGATATAAGCCCGGTTTAGCATTTTATTTACGTTGTAGTTGGTCGAGGCTAGCTTTTCTGTGTCACCATCAGGCACAATATTTAGTTCAAGTTGTCATGCACTCATGTCACCTGCCAGCATTGAGATAAAGTGAAAATTTGTTATGCTATTACACATACCTGTGTTAAACTGAAGCCACTGTCTGGCTACACCTGCCGTAAAAATTTATCTAGCAAGGTACTCCAAAAAATCATTTATTTTGCATAAAGCTTTATTAGTTCTCTTAACCCCTTTCATTTTGTACAGTTATTTTTTTAGGCCTGCCTGACTATGCTTCTTTTGGTGCGGAGAAAAGATAGCTTGATTGACTAGCGAAGCTTTTTTCGTGGCATGTCATGTAATATGCTCCAAGCTGCCTGGCTTTTTTTAGCTGCATTATGTGCGTTTACTTGTTTATGTGTTCGCAAGCTTCAATGGCTCAACGCAACATAACACTTTTGACAGTAAAAAAGACATTTTATGTTGTTGTACTTGACACAAACATGCAACAAACAAGAGCACAGACTGAATTGTAAAAATAGTTTTGTATTTCTAAACATAAACTTAAGATGTTAGATGAGGTGACTATGGCAGAATGGCACTGCAAAGCAGGAATGGAAAGCATCAGTACGAGTTCATGCTTTGTGTTAGACTTAAGTAGATGTGGAGGGCGCTGAGACCAACACTGATGGCTGCCATCAGTTTGACGGCCAACACAAGCCAAGGACCAAACGCCAAAGTTTGCACCATAAGCCTGAAAAGGAGAAGAAAATGCATGCGTTATACACAACATTGAAGAAACTAACACTGAGCGGAAATCCGCTAACTCCTGCAATTTAGTCAAACAGCCGTAAGCTCACCATAAGTGTGGCATGTGAATGATGTCATGCATGACATCAAAGTTATTATTTTCATATTACCACCGCTAATATACTTTTGTCATAGAGTGAAATCACCGAACACCAATTTTGGTGTATATCAATTGAGCAAAGCGACCGCGAGCTCCTCATGGGCACGCCATGCAAGTCCTGGCATACATGACATGCATGTCATAATATTCATGTTACCGCCTGTCGCTTATGTTCGTAATACAGTCAAGCCACGAAATGCCAATTTCGTTGCATATCCATAAAACTAAATGGCCACGAGCACCTCAAGACCATAACATGTCAATCATATTTTGCATGACACGCATATCATAATTTGCACCTCAAGACTTGTGAATTCTTTTCGTCATGCACTATTGTCATGGCATACAAACTTTGGCATTCAAGTTAATGAAACAGCTGCAAAAGCCCCAAGACCGTGGCAAGTAAATCGTGCCACTCATCACACTCATGTCATAATTTCCATGATATGATCTGTGATTTACAATCGTCATAGTCATGTTATACACTGTCATGGTTGGTATAGTACATCTCTTTAATGAAATGGCCATGAGAGCACAAAGTCGTAGGCAACCAGATTAGACAGACAGACAGACAGAATCAATGTTGCCGAAGCTCACAAAGAAATGCTTCACATTTAAGAAGGTTGCACTGCATATACTCAGCAGTTAAAGGAGCAGTGACACCACATTTCAAACTCAAGATGTGGCATTCATTCGTTTGCATGGTATGCATGAGTTTTTTTACAGAAGTATGAATGGCGTCTGTTACATATAAGTTAGTCTATTCAGAGTGCAAAGAGCATCCAAAGGCTGGCACGTTCACGGCCTAGAGACATCGACAGCATTTTGACATGATCAGTGAGCTCTAAGGCCACGCCTCAGTCGTTGAGTGACAATGAGTGAGCAGTGATGACGTCGATAATTTTAGTGTTGTCATCGCAGCGGCTGCATGTCACACCATCTGGGGGCGATGCCTGGCAACAGATTCACTTGGTTTGCGCAGTGCGTTCGTGTGAATCCAGCGTTTACGTTGTGCCGCTTCGGGTGATATGTCAAAGAGTCAAGAGCATAAATATAATTATTTGAAGCTATAGTCATCACAAACAAGCAACACACACGTAGCATTCATGTCTTACCACCCAGCATAACCGAAGCGTTTCCAGCGGTCTCGTCGCTGCTCAGTTTGGCGTCGATTTCAGAGTTGTTGCTAAGAAGAGGATCAAATCGGAAATGATTCGTCATGCCGTCAATGGCAGTGATTCCATATCCCTCAGTTTCAGTATCATCACTTGTGAACGCTGATGATGGCCGCGACCACAATAGGGGTGGTGAAGACTTGCTTATGAACGTGCGCGTCGAGCACACAAGATTTCAAATGTGAAACTCGCGTCACCGTTTCGTGTGGCTATGTGATCAAACGGGGGGTGACCGTGTGAGGTGACCGCTTGACAGCTCTGGCCCAGCTGAAAATCTGCAAGCTTTGCACCCATTTGGAATTGGGTTGGATATAGGTAATACTAATTTGTCCCTCTCTTGCATTATTAGTATGCGATACTGAATCGTTTCTAGGGGATCGATAACTATATGTTTACACAAAAAACACGACGTGTGAAGTTGATGTCACTGCTCTTTTAAATGCATTTCTGAAACATTGGAACTAAAGCGGGATACGGAATGCTGGCCATCTGTGCACTCAGTCAGAATGACAATTGCTGCACAGAGCAATACCGGCCAAACAGATTCATGTACACTTACACCACCCGAACCCCTCATTTCTCCAAACAGGAGCGTATATTTCTCCTCCCCCTCCTTCCTCCTCCTCTACAAAAAAAACGCTTAGCGCGGTGAGTTTTCATAAAGGTGTTCAAGAGTTCATGCTACTCGAAGACACATTTTTTTTAATATTCGCTCTAGAGCCATGAAACTTGAGCTGGTTATAGAGCTTCTTATGCTGATTTCAAATATATAATCAGTTTTCTTGCAAGTGCCATACATTTAGTTCTGCAACATGATAAAGTGAAAAAATTAAGCCTTTTGCCCCCCTTTTTTCATCACATAACTTCAATAATTTTTTACCATTGATATTTCGTAAAGTTTAAAATAAAATGTAGAATGCAGATAACTAATTAGGAAGTGCATATTAAATATGTAATAGATGTAAAAAAATAATAGATGTAAAAAGGCTTGCATTTCTCCTATCCTAGTAAATAACTACATAACTTTTTTTATTATATGAAAATATTTCAAAATTTAAACAACTTAATTGCACTTATCATACTTTGGAATAGATTCAGGTGAAATTCCATGCTCATCCAAGCACCAGAAGTACCCGTAAAAGGAGGGGCACATTGAAAACAATGAAAAAATCTGTGTTTTGAGAAAAACAAGCTTAAAAGTTAAAACAGAATCTTTATTTATCAAAGATGCCATTAAATGCGATAAAATTTGGATACAAAAAAGAACAATCCTCCTTGTAGTGGCCACTACCACTAAAATGTGTCGGCACCATAAGTTTGTCCCACATGGCTCTTTCGAGCTGACTCTACACAGACGTTTCGCTCACAGACAGAGCCATGAAACACTTGCCAAACTTCTTCCGCTCCACCTGGCAGAGCCTTATGCCGGCAGCAAACTAGGGAGAAGTTCAACAGGGCTTCAAAATCTAAGCAAAGTCCAGTGTCAAGAGACAAAACGGTTGTGATGCCGTTCTGGCTCTCGAGGCTGCATTTGTGCCACGTGCCGTCGTACATAATGGCAATGTCGACCCTGCCGACTTCTCTCACTGTGAGCTTCCTCGACTTGGCAAGATTAGCGCAGACGGCATCCATTGCCGCAACACGAACTAGCCAGCGGATGGCTGTGAATGACTTTTGATGCATTGACTTTTGCAAGCTAAGAATAAATCGGCACTGCTGCTCATAGCCCATTCCTACAGAGTGCACTGCCACAAAAGCTTTCACGTTGACAGCGTAGCTATCACGCGAGTTACGGCTTTCTTCATCCGTAATGAAACTGTGCTGCATTACGAGACACGGATCCTGCAAGTAGGCTTTACAGCCCATACCGCACAGCGGCCAATTGCGGTTGATTGATTTGTGGTGTTTAACGTCCCAAAACCACCATTTGATTATGAGAGACGCTGTAGTGGAGGGCTCCGGAAATTTTGACCACCTGGGGTTCTTTAACGTGCACCCAAATCTGAGTACATGGGCCTACAACATTTCCGCCTCCATCGGAAATGCAGCCGCCGCAGCCGGGAACCGAACCCGCGACCTGCGGGTCAGCAGCCGAGTACCTTAGCTACTAGACCACCGCGGCGGGGCAAGGCCAATTGCGGTCCCCGATCCGTATAACACGATTTAAAAGCCAGTCAAGGCGCTCAAAGAATGCGGCAAATGCATGCTTATAATTATTATTATTTGCCGACTGCAGCAGCATGGGAAACCATCGTTGTTTGAAGAGTGAAGCTCAGTTCTTCACCTTATGCGGTCGCGAATGGCAAGCGGTGGCACATTATCTGTAGCAAGGCCCTCAAAGACTGCACGTTTCCGGCCATTTAACAGCCACCTTGGGCTATTTAGATGCAATTTTAAAGCATTTCCAGTTCAACAAAGATTTTTTTTTCAGTACAGTAGAGGTAATATTCTTATCAAAACACGTGAAAGCAAAAAATAGGTGATTTTTAAAATAAACTCGCGTTTTTTAACCCGCATCTCCGCTTTACAGTGCCCAACATTTATAAATTAGGGACCATGTTTTTTAGTTGTTTGTGAGCGCGTTTTTTTTTCTTTAACGGCAAAGGGTGCACTCTTCCAGCTTTTTCGAAACATGGCGTTGCGGAAAAAACGTGGTTTGACGGATAAAGAAATTCTAAATCTCGTATTTGACAGTGACCCAGAAAGTGACATTTGTGATGATGACAATGTTTTGTTAGACAACAGGGACTTCCAAACTAATGAAAGTGGTAGTGATGAAGAAGAGAATGTGTGTTCAGCAGACGCCTCTACGGGTGCTTCGCAGACATTTCCAAACAAGCGCAGGACTGAAAACTGGCAATGCGAAGAAGACGGAAGTGTTGATAACGGATGGCAGTATTGACAGTGCTTCATTTGTAAAAGTAAACGGCACGCAGCTCCACTACACTGACTGGAAGGTCAATCTCGCTGAGGACATTTTCAAAGAGGCCACTCTGCCCCTCTACAATGATCGAAGAAACCCACCTGTCGTGGCCTCACCAATGCACCTACAAGCCACCGAATCAGAATGGGCTCGCTTTCCTCGCCACATCCTGGCAAACAAAGTCAAGCACAATCTATCGAGACTTTGCTTATGGCGTATTCGGCTGGGCGTTTACGAGCGCTTTAGAGCCCTCTAAAATGTGGCTGTGCCTTCGGATGGCACAATTCAAGCGCTCGGACTACCTTCGGTTGGCTCTTTCAGAGCGCCAGCCTCCGACTCAGAGCGCTCCCAACCGCTATGACTTCGAAGTGAGAGCGTGGCGTGGTCTGACCAAGAGGACGGATCACGGGACACATTCTGGTGAATCACGTGGCTGCCGGCAGGTGAATCAGGTGAACAGCGCGAGCACGAATTACGGAAGGGGACATTGCCGGGCGTGTAATACTTCATGCACATGCATTGTTAGTGGCATTTTTGAGCATGTGTGAGGTGAGTTCACATCTACAAAGCCATAAATGCGCCATGTCAAAGTAGAGGCGGCTGGCGAAGGCGGACGAAACGTCAATACTTTTACAGCAGCTCAAAGACAGCCATGTGATTTGTCTTGAAGATAGCAGCTTGGACAATGACAATCGCCAGTTTTATGTGCTGAGCTCAGAAGGCTGTCGCTGTGTCCAGACGTGTCAGAGATGTCTGCTGAACTGATTGGCGCCATTTGTCAGAGCAGCACAAGAACGTTTACCGAGCAGCCTTCAGCGCTGGCTAGACAGTGGCGCTACAGGCACGCTGCTCTTAGATTGCCGACGTATTCGGTTGGTACACTGCCTCTCGCACTCCGATTGTGAGCTGCCTCGTCATCTGGCGACTCCGAGCCAAAGGACCAGGGTGGCCAACCATACATGCCATTAGTAAGGCACTGGACAAGAAGTCCGAGAGCTGATGGGAGTTTGAAAAATGTGAACTTGCTCTCCACAAGCCTGTGTGCTTTAAACTTTTTCACACACAAAAATCATACTGAAGCACCTGAAGCAGTCAAGCTTTGTTAGTCAAGGAAAATTAAGTTTGCTACTTTATGACATTTGTTGCAGTTTAGGTGCACCGAGCCATGCCGCCAGAGGGCTTGAAAATTTTCCGGCAGAATACAAAGCAGGAATGGCCGTGGAAGCCAGTGCGTCAATATCACTGGCCCGCCTAATTTTCTGTCTACCCCTCACGGGTTTGTTTCCTCTTGGAATCCAGTCAGTTACACTTAATGACCTCTGTTTATTCTGCATATGCACTGTGTGCCCAGCCCCTGTTTATTTATTTTGCTTGATTTGATCACACAGTAGCCTAAACACCGACTGAATAATAATAAAAAAAACTGTTTCAGGGTCCCTCTAAATAACCCTTCTGAGCAGGCATCGAAAGAACTATAGAAAGCTAGGACCTGAGCTATGCTAAGCAAGCTGAATCAAAGGCATGCCAACATACTCAACGAGCAGCGACCGGTAGCAGGTGATGGCAAGCAGCACTGTCACCATGGGAAGGTGAACCTTGCGCAGGTCGTGTCGGTTCCACAGCCAAACCAGTGTGGCTGTGCTGATGTGGTTAACCTACAGAATAAATTTGAAAAAACAGAGAGTCACTAAAAAGATATCCAATGAACCCCACAGAAATACTTATGCTTGCCTACATATGCTTGCTGCAATATCATACTGCACATCGCCGCGACTTCTTAGTTTTTGTGAGAGGCACAGTCACAGGTTTCGCACTTCCGGAAAATGCTGGACCGCGAGATGCAACAAGAATTTTCAGGCCAGTAAAGAGGCTCATAAAAATGTACCACTGTGAAGAAAGCATCATCATCATCAGCAGCATATTCTGATGCCTACTGCAGGAAAAAGAGCTCTCCCAATTATCCCTAACTAATTCTGTTTTGAGCAAACAGATTCAGTTATTGGGCTAATAACTACTGAAACTTATCCCTACATTGAACTTCTTTTTTCCACGCTTAACTAGCGGCACTCAAGATACTAACTATTCAATGCACGCACAGCCACGCAGCTGGAAGAGAATTCCACAATGTAACACTGCGTGTCAATGTCCTCACAGTCCTTTGCAATGGCGACAAGGTAAACCACTGAATGAAATGGTTTTACTTAAACTAGAAGCAGAAGTTGCTCTCAATAAGTGGAAAGCATCGACATTATGTGACAGCACCCTCAACAAAAAGGCATATGTATGCATAAAAATAAGTTCATTAAAAAAATATTTTTAAAGGTAAACCTTAAGTACAGAGCAGTTTGATTAACTTAGTCTATCTCACATTTGTAGTGCTCAATGAATGTTGATAATCTCCCTCTTTCAATGAAGACCAGTGCTGTTTGCTACATTTATGTTATAACTTTATACTACTGTGTGCATTAATGCAAACAAGGCAGATGTTTACAATAAGCTAAAGGCTTGAAGTGCAGCGCAATTGTTTAACAGGAAATACTTGCTTAAAGGGACACTAAAGACAAATATTAAGTCTATGTTGATTGTTGAAATAGCGGTACAGAAAACTAGTAGTGATACTTTTGTGCCAAGAAAGTGCTTATTTTGAAATAAAATCATATTTTAGAGATCCACATGGGGTTAGCACACTTGAAATCAGCCACCTGGAAGTGGTCTTTTTGACATCCCTGTTGTCGTGCCCAATGTTGCTTGCCTTTACTGAGTGGCCCCTGACACTAATAGCAGCTTAGCGAAAGTAGCAGGAGCCACAGCAATAACAGCCACTGAACAATTTTCTGCTTGCTTGGTTCAACAAGGCCCCGCTAGACGGCACCCCCTATCCAGCATAACCAAGGGCAAATGAAATTTTTGAAGCATTTCCGTCATTCCACATAGTAATGCTAGGTGGTTCTTTTTTCCTTAAGTCAAACAGAAACAAACAAGCAGCATTTTATTGTGCTCTTGATGCATGGAAGATTCTTTTTTTTTCATTGCAGCTAGCTTGATTACTAGTGATTATTTGTAGTTGGATGCTCGCACATGATCGGGATAATTTCCACAATGTCTCACTCGTGGCACACATTGTGTGAAACATTTAGCTTCATTTCTCGGTAAGTAGCGCACTGCTGTATATAATATTACCATTTTAGACGTCATATATTGATCTTTCACTTTGACATAAATTGTTATTTGCCCTTTAAGTCAACCCTTTAAGTCAATATTTCAACAAGAGGATGAAGACTAATGTGTTGGTTAAAATGTTGGCTCCCATGACATTCCATGTTCAACAAGTTTTTATCATTGTGTGCTTAAGTAATTTATGTTGGGAGCTGTACTTTATGAATTGCTATAGATCAATAGAGGTCTCATTTTTTTAATTTGTTCTGTTTGGTATTGTTACACTTATGCAAAGAAAGAGCTGCTTACATTTTCTAAATATCATGTATATGGCTAAATTCTGAAGTGTCATAAAGAGGCACTGCAAACTTTTTTTAGCCCGGTAAGAAACTATTGCTGATATGTAGTCGAGGCTCCTAGGAACCTGCGAGCAATGCATTATAGTGCAGCACGCCGCTTATAACTAATATAATTAATTCTCAAGGTCAGCTAGAAATCGCTCCCTCTTCGTTCTACAAATGATACCATATACCCAAATGACTGCACCGTATACTAAAATTTTCAGCCATTGCTTGATTTGAGCATCCTGAACAGTATAATTGCAGAGATCGCTGCAAAAGGCAGCCGCACGCCCGCATGCATGTGATCACGTTGTAAGTAAGCAAAGGCGATTAAAGAAAAAAAAAAAAAAAAAGTGCTCAGGGTTATGACACGGGCATCAGATTACTTCTTTTGCCTGTGCCATCTCTCCCTGCTTATGTTTCAGCACACTCGTCTGGATGAAAGCAGAGAGAAAGCAATTACAACATGCAACAAACTACTTGATCGCCTCTTAAAAAATTGTTGTGACGGCTCATTTATAAGTCAACAAAGTCCTCTAATGAAGCCACTCTACGGTTACATAGAAAAATGTTGCAAGGCCTCTTTACGAGAAAGTACCACTCGTTTAATACAATTTAACAATCACGTCACACGTATGAACCCTTACACCATAGAAGCACTCACCAGAGAAATGTTGGAGTCAAAGCTGAGCTGCACGTAGCGCCAGTCAAACTCCATGCCGCGAGCGCCAACCCACAGAGGCACGAAGCGAGTCATGAGCAGCTCGGCACTGGCCCATCCCAGACCAGCAACCAAGAACTTGGTCTCGCCCTTGCCGGCCACCTTGGTCATCACTATGTGCAGGCCCACGAGGTCGGCAAGATCAACAGTGGCCTTGAGGAACTCCTACAATGCGACGAAAAGGGAGTACACGTGCAGATTTATTTAGCTGACATGGTGGCAGAAATCCGTGCTACCTCATACGGACACAAAAGAGAAACAGCAAGTTTATTTAGATAGTAGAACATAGACTTCAAAAACTGTATGTGCTTCGTTTTTAGCATAAGAACTCTCTTAGCAGTGTCCAACCAGCCATGATCTGCAACACAGGTGGTTGGTATAGTGCAATATTCTTTGTTCCTGGAGGTAAGCAATTGTCTATAGCTATAGGCAAACACTCACGACTAAATTCTGAAGTGTCGCAAAGCCATACTGCAACCTGACCATGAGGTATGTTTCAGTCGACCACTCTGGAATATTTTGGACCAGCTGGGGCTCCTAAACATGCATAAGAAACTAGTTACATGGTTATTTTGTTATCTCTTCCAGAAATGTGGCCAACATGGCTGAGAATCAAATCCCCAGCCCTTAACTTAGCAGGATAACACTAAAGCCATTAAGCTACCACAACAAACACTGCCTAAGCCTATTACAGCATGAGTGCCCGCCACACAATTATCAAGGAGTCTTCAAAGAATCCTTCCTTCTGCTAGCATGTGTTCTAGATACTTGTATAATTTCTGCTTTACTAACGATAAGTTCACCAGTGAGGTCAACCCATTCACAAATCCGTATCTGCCTATCAGCCTAATCACATAAGCCACATTAACTCAGTGTTCCTCTTTTGTGTCTCTTGGGTGACAAATTACAACACCTAACACAACATGCTGAAGACAGGCAAACACGCATACATGCTACGCCAACAATGCTCCCTACAGTTTCCATTCAACATCGATATCAACGTCGCGGATGACGATCTTTCAGCACATGCCACTCACTCTTCGCAGGGGCATGCTTTCTAAAATGTCAGCAAAGCATGTAATAATGCAAAGAGTACAAAACGAGTTTAAAGCAAGTGATGGCACACCTCTGCATTTTCACGCTCACCACCGTGTGTCACTGCTGCGACTAATGTTTCAATAATAACCTATGCGGTGACAGTTTGTCTGTACTATCTATTTGTTGACAAACAAGGTATACTAAAAAAATCATCTCAAACAGATAATAAATTAAACTGATCTAACTGCTTTCGGAGTCAATACACGTTTGGCCAGCCAGCAAAATAATAAGTAACAAATACAATTTCACTAATTTGTGTGGGTGTTCACTACAATATGTGGATGTCTGTGATAACAATGTTTCTCAAGTAATAAATTGATCAGGCACAAGAAATGTTCTCATTTATTAATTCCATTTGAAGTTTATTGATATTGGCTAATCTTTAGCACACTACATAATTAAAAATTACTGATGCTACACCTCTAAGTAATATAAAAGAAACAACAATAGTATATAAGCTATCTGAGCTTATAAACTGATACAAACACTTAGCACAGCCTAACTATTTTGAACTGTCTAAGAAAAAAAAGCACGAGTGATAAAATAAGTTATTTTTCTGTTCCTTTTCTTCTGCCAAGTGTACAATTAAGAGGCAATGCACCAGGCCACTACAATCAGGTCACTAAAACATACCATTTGAAATTGATGCGAACCCTATGTTAATGTATACAAGGTCTGTCAGAAAAGTATGTGACCTTTGGTGGAAGAAATAAAAAACATAGTTGGAGCATTCGAAACCTAATCTCCTTCAATGTAGTCCCCTTGGGACTACACACACTTCTCTCAGCGGTGCTGCCATTGTTGGAAGAATTCTGAGAAGGCCTTTTTCGGAATGGAATTTAGCTCAGCTGTCACTGCAGCCATAATGTCCTCCCTTGTCTGAAATCACTCTCCTTTTAATGTCCTCTTGAGTTTGGGAAACAGCCAGAAGTCCCAGAGAGCCATATCAGGACAGTAAGGAGCCTGTTGAACTACAGGAGTCTGACTTTTCGCCAAAAAAGTCTGAACCAAGTGTGAGGAATGTGCAGGAGCATTGTCGTGATGAATGCACCAGTACCCTGTTGATCACAACTCATGTCTCTTGTGCCGCACGCGATAGAGGACATCTTTGTAATACTTTTTGGTGATTGTTTCACTCTGTTGTACGTACTCATGGTTTACCACACCGCGGGAGTCAAAGAAAGCACTCGGCATCCCTTTGACTTTGCTGCGCACTTGGAGGGCCTTCTTTGGTCTTGGTGACCTAGAATGCTTTCCCTGGGACGACTGGGATTTAGTTTCCGGGTTGTATCCTTACACGCAAGACTGGTCACCAGTGATAATGGCGTTCATGAAGTTAGGGTCGCTGCTTGTGAAATCCAGCATGTCCTGTGAGACTTCAACAGAAAGTTACTTTTGCTCCACCGTGAGCAGTCATGGCAAAATCATTGGTCATAATGTAATGTCCAGAGAATGTTCCGACGCCCACCTCTTCCGCAATTTCCCGGATAGTCACATGACAGTCCTGCATCCCCACAGCGTTCACTTCGGCAATGACCTGGTCATTTCAGCATGTTGATAGCCGACCGGAGCGTGGCTCGCTCACCAACAATGTGCGACCGTCTTTAAATCAGTTGTACCACTCTTTCATCTGTGTGCGGCTCATAGCGTTGTACCGAAAGCCGTCTTGATATTCCCAATGATTTCCTCTTGGCTCTTGCCCAGTCTGGCAAAACTTGATGGAGTAGCCCTGCTCTCATCACTCCGTCATTTTCCTTGCAATAAAAAACTGACGAGAACACTGCCCGCTACCTCACTCAAACGCTGTGTCCCAGCGACTGATGCTATTGGCAGGCGGGAAAAAATTCCCGCATGCGCATGAAGATTCAAGGTCGGCTGAACCTATCAGGTGCTCGCAAAAAAATAATAATAATAATAAGGTCACATACTTTTCTAACAGACCTCGTACTATGTATAGTGGCGACGATTTCCTTTATTTGCCCCACTGCTAACTAGCATAGACTGGCCTGGAACAAAACGACTATATGAATGCCAGTGAGAACTATCAGAAGGTCGTAGGTTTGGTCCCTTCTGATGGCAAGTTTCCTTTTCATTTGTTTTTCGCATCTACATCACAATTACTAGACCGCAATTAATAAAGAACAGTTAACATCCCTTATACATTCCTTGGCTTCATTACCAGTTGGTATTCATTTAGTTTGTGTCAAAGTTTTTTTGAGCTCGTTTACACATTCCCCTGTGGTCTCCAAAACAGCATCTAACCTGTGTATGTATGGGCAGTCTTGTTTTCTCTCACCCTGCACTAAACTAGTATCTCTTGTGATGCGACCATTACCTCAATGCCAGTGCTTCAAAAAAAATTGAGGATTGACCTCTTTCACGAAGAAATATCTGTTGGCTTGCAAAGTAAAAGATTCTATGAACTACACCGTTTGTTATCATTGTAGACAAGGCTTTCGCATGCGAGCTGGAACGCATTTTTCAAATTTTTGTGCCCTTTACTTCGGGCTTTTTTTTTTTAATTCCACTAGGCTCTACACGAGTGCTATAGCTCAAGACAATGTAGTATTTTCTTATTTTTTTTCACATTACTTCATTAAATAAACTTGCAGCGATAATTTAACACTACAAAGGCCAGGACGCTTGCCAGACCAATTTCAATTTTGAGGCCAATATTTTAATCAGTTATAATTTCTCAGAGGCTGCCTATTGTTCTCTTTATAACGTTTTTTTTTTTTTTCACTGTATTTCTGCTGACCAGCTACCATTCGCAGCTACTCTGAATCTTGAGAAAACTTACATCTATGCTATCGTTAAGAGTTAAATGCCCTGTCCTATATCAGTTATTATGACTTTCTTTTTCCATGTTTAGAAAAAGACCAGCCTTCAATAATAATGTTAAATGTGGAAGTGCTGTAAATTATCAAAAATCGTAATTTAGTGCAACAACTAGCCCAAGAACAATGCTTTTTACTCTGGATTAAACAACCCTACTGGTATGTTTATCTGATGAAAACCTCAATGAACAAGAGCTTTTTGGTTATTTTCACACTTTTTTTGTGCGTAGGTATGGATATGAAGTGAACATGACGCTAAAATTTGTGCGAGCATTATGCAAGAAGACAACTGAGAAAGACTGTGGGCCAATGTGATCATATATTTCTCTGCCCAAAACTCACTTTGCCATCATTTGCAACCAAGACAACATAGGGAATAAAATCAACTAAGGTCACCATGCAGCATAAAAAAATCACTCAGGAAAAGCAAGAAGATACAGGCTGTTCTTCTGTCTCTTAATAAAAGAGAATAAGAAGCAAGAACAATGCACACAACTCCAAGTTGGCTATAAAGCAATGTACACAACTGCCACTTCCAGAAATCATGCTTTGTACAACCATTCAACCAAATTTGCTCACCACATCCATTCGGAAGGGCACCTGGCAGAGAAAAATTCAGTGCAGTATTTACAAATGGAATGTAAAAGCGTGACTTCCCGATCTGTTTCCAATGACCTCTGCACCCCAACCACATAAACAAATGTGATTCTAAGAATACAAAAAAAGAAGATTATCATGAAGCATTAAATTTAATCATTCAAATTATTCTTCATGGTGGGCCATGTTATTTACTGCTAGGCAGTAACAGTTAGACCTTTTTCGATTTTGAAAACAAAGAACTTAAAAGTCCTTCTATGAATTTGAAACAAAAGCCAATAAGCATATTTTAAATATATTAATTATTGCACAAGGTCCATCAATTCTTATAGTTAGTGGCAGCACCACCAGGGACAGTCCTCGTTCACTGAGGCAAGCCTCGCACTTTGTTGCACATAACTCACACCAATACACAGAAAAATGTGCTTAAAAATGGGGATGAGGTTTGTATGCAGGGGCGCGTTACATGCAAAAAAAGAAAATACGCTATTATTTTGCTTTGCTCACTCACTGTATACTAAACACAAAACCACCTCTAAAATTTAGTAATTATGATGTTGATGACATAAACATAGCAACATGACAAGTGTTAAAAGACAAACAATAGCAAGTGAAAGTCAATCAGTGCCTACGGTCAAGGATTTCACAATCTTGATGTTGACGTGCATTCCACCAATGCCACATCCTATTTTGTTTGCAAATTGTCCGTTTAGTCAATGAATTACTGTTCATGAACATTCACTAGCCGATTTATTTTACAGATCTAAGATTGAGATTGTAAATCTGATGATTTCATCAGTCACTGATGAAATCATTTTCAATTACCACTGCAACAGGGGCAAGTAAGGCTAACTGGCACAGTCACATTCTAAAGGGCTACAAGTTTGCAGGTCAAAAGCACTGGCTTTCAACTGGGAGTTTACTTGTAGGAATGGTTGTAGCACAGTTTGTAGCACAGTAGCACAGTTTGACCACAAAACTTGTAGCACAGTTTGACCACAATATATTATTCTTGATGGGGAGCACAACATACTTCAGTACATAGATAAATCAAAATACACGCTACGCTTACCTGAAGCATAGCGAGTCTCGAAATATAGCGAGTCTCGAAAAGTCTTTTGATATTGAGAGCATAATTTTACCAATTCACAAAACACATGTACAGTTTCTCTTCTGTATGCAGTTTTCCTTCCACTGGTTCTTTTTTTTTTTTTTGTTATCGTGAGCAAACTGGCCCAGCAGCCTTCATTAGTCGATAAGATGCCACGGTCACCCTTTAAAAAGAAAAACTCTTTCGCAATAATTTTAAAATAAATTTTTACTTTCTGTCTTCAGATATGTATCTAAATTTCAGATGGCAATATGCAAACATAAATGTGTATGTTTTTACTTATACAATTTACAGTACTGAATCAACAACTTCTTCCTTGCTCCTCTCTTTTTTTTTTTCATTATCTGCATCAAACTTTGCAAGAATAAACAAGAACAAACATCTTGACATCTTGCTCTGTTAATCTAATATTTAGCAGATTCATTTCTTCCTTTTTACATAAATATAACGAGCAAGAACAAAGTTTATTTTGCACCATGGGACCACGATATGCATTAACTGTACTTGAGTAAACATCGTTTTGATACAACAGCTGGCATTTTGCCTTGGTTCTCATTGTTCAAGGGGGCAATGAAACAAAACTTTCCACCCCTGCTTGTGAACAATTTCCAGCACAAATTTATAAATTTAAAGCCATTCTGTAGCAGCAATTTTCCAGCAATGGAGAAACTTTCACTGTCTGTATTTCATTATATAGAAGACAGTGATCATAATGTATTGCTGAAGTATCAAACAGCCAACCTGAAAGAACGAATTGTATAATGAACACATTCTGAAAACAGCAATACTCCGAATAAAAGCAAAGAGCATGTACATAATGTCACAGAAGTTTGACAACAATATTTTAATTAGAAATTACTCCAGCTTATTAACACGGGCACCGGAACCCGGCTCCACAAGGACTAAGGTACAGCAGCAATACAGTGTACTAAAAAGAAAGAAAAAAAGAAACACACTGCAGCTACAGGTATAAGTACTTTCCTCATCGTAAGCAGCAATAGGTACACACAACATGCAGCCCTTTAAGGAGTCTGATGGTATCGCCTATGGTCTCGGTTATTCCTTAATCTCTACTTTTGACAGGCCTTGGAAAGAGAATAGCTATATCTCGCACTGTTGCTTAACTTACCCCAAGAACATCGAAGCCGCCAACCGAGGAAACATCACCGGGGGGAAAAAATGTTGCCAGGATCAGCATTTTGCAGAGCTGCATAATGATATACATAGCTGCAGCCTGTACACACTTCCAGAATGCTCCATATTCAGATCTGAAACAAGGCAGGCAACAAACAAATTTCAGAATCACAAACAAAATGGGCGTTGTATCGATATATGTACTACATGCAGTTAAGTTAGAATGTTAAAACAAACAACAAAAATGAAAAAAAAAATGTGCCAGTGATCACAGTGTCCATTCTCAACTTCTGCGGTGGCTTTTCTTTGCTGCCAGTTGCCAAATAGCTTGTTACTATGATGACCTCGTGCGTGGTCTTTTCAAACTTACGACACATGCTTTTCCTATTGGCTCTTTATTGTTTCTTTTGTACGAAGCGGCTTTACAAACCATATTCACATTTTCGTTTAAAAATACTCTTACATGCTTAGGATGAGGCATCGTGTGAGGGGTGCAGCTAGAACAAAAAATATACTTTGATTACACTAGATACACGAAGAACAGGCGTATACATCACATAGTCATGAAAATTGTATAACTAAGACGATTCATCAGTTCAGACGGCATTGGTTAAAAGGCATTAACGCTGGTTAAGATAAAACATGCAATAACGGACTACCTGCACAAGCTTATACGTTAGCACAGTTAGTACGCCCTTTCAGTCTAGCGTACGCAGTCATGCTGTTACTAAGATCAATGCGTCCGCTCAGTTATGCTGAAATCGTGCACTTAGTACCAACTACATTGAAAGCGATGTTGCATTTACACGAAAAAACAAACTATGTTTTTTGACATGTCCTGTAAACAGGCATAAAACTGGGAAAATAGAGGAAAACGCAGCAGTTCATGGTGTAGTAGGTCTTATTACTCACCGAAAACAGCTGCGCTTCTACCCCGAAACTGCCGAAAGCGGCACTTCGGCAAACGACATGGGCGCGGCAATAATTCTCAAACGCTAGAGAGTCTTCGATCGCTGGTGGCGTGAAACAAACAAGCTCGACAAAATTCGGTCCCCAATGAATGTCTTCAATACTCACAATCCGGAGTACTTGTACGTGAGGAGGTAGGGCACGTATGCCAGGGCGACGCAGTTTCCGAAGTGAAATAATGTCATCGCAAGTTATAATACGAGCACTTCGCGATACAAACTGCCTTATTTCCTTATGCCGCCCACTAAACTCCACGAGATCTTCTTCGCGATTATTCGCAGCACTGACACGGAAATCTGAGAAACAAATTAAAATCGGCTTCTTTTCCTCATTAGAGTGGGAGGTGCCATGTTGTTATCCCGCACAAAGTCAGTTCCGCGTACCGGTATAAAAATGAAATAACGTTAGTAAAGACAAAAGACAGGCAAAAGACTAAAATAAAAAGTTTAATATTAATAATCTACTTTTCCAATGAGACTACGCTAAGCACGATGAATTCTCGTATCAGCGCAAAATAACCGAAACTCGCGACCATGGATGTGATTGGTTGATCCAACGTAACATTGGGTTGACCAGCGCAAATAGAGGAGGCGCTGGGTTGTCTCATGCTGACTCACGTTTAGGTTTATTTCGACGGAGAACACCCCAGACACTGCGTTCCTTTATTGTTTAGATATTTCTTGAAGCAATGCGTGGTTAAAAAACAATCGAAAAATATAGCGAACACGCATGTATGCATGCGCAGCACATATTTACAGTCAAACCGATTTAACGAAATTCTCGATTTTACAAAAGAGATGCTGGGTGACGTTACCCATGAATGTCTTGAGTAGGTTTAAAAATACATAAACGCGCACGGAACGCAATCCTGGTTACAGCTGTGACCCCATATCATGCTGCAAATTAAATTCAATGCTTACAGGGAGCCTTCAATTGTGTCATACGCAATTAATTTTGCGGTGTGACGCAGTCCGAGTTTACTGCTGACGAGGGTTGCTTTCACCCTACGATTGAGATATTTTGAGAAAAAATGATTGGAGATGGTCATTGCTTGTTTTACAGCACGGAAGGCTTGTGCTCTATACACAAATAAAAATACATGTCTTCCAAGCCGGACTTGTATTTGAAACAGGAAAGTTTAGGGTTAAGTAACGCACCTATTTTCGTTTCCAATGTCTTCAGTTCGTGATCGTATTAGAATATCATTTTGACTTGAACACATTGATCTGCACCAACATTATCTTTAGAGACGACATCCATTCTGACATGATGCTGTTATTTTAATGAATTGCTAATCCCCGTCGTCATGCTAAAAGGTCCGATGTCACGCTTGGATCCACGAGTGCAGTACACTCAACCAGTTTTTGTACAAAGCGATTGACAGCTACAACAGTATGTCCAAGAATATCCAGTCGTTCTTGCTTCTTGATGACCTAGTAAGGTGGCCGAATGCATACTAGTACTAGATGGTTATTCATACTGGTTGGCCTATGAGGTTTAAATAAATCTTAAATATTACTTTAACCTCCTTGTGGTTGACCGACATAACCTACATCACCATTTCTGTACTCAGATAGAGAGAGCGCATATTTCTAGTATTTACGCATGCTGCGCAAAGCTTTAGGCAATTCTCAAATCACTGTGCACATGCAATTCAGGGACATACTAATGGTAGTGCAAAATTTCAACCAACTTGAGTCAACAGTCTGAACAATTATCCAAATGCACTCAAGCAGCACCCACAAAATTGTTTTGAGGCTTGAATTATTCTCAAACAATGACTATGATCAGTGTTGCATGTTCTTTTTGTTTTTTTAGTACTGCAAGCCCATTTATTCCATGTCACAAAAGCACCCCTCTCAAGTACGGCGACATGCCGTCATAGCTTATCAGCCCAGGTGCTGCACTGCTATAAGCTCAGCGATGCGTTTGACCTGCAGCTACAACAGTCGCATTTGGAAGGGGGCGCAAACCATTAACAGCGTACTTGTATTAATAACCCTAGTTGATCAAAACTATGTGGAGTCCTGCGTTCCAGGGCCCCTCATGATTATTATGTTGTTTTGGCCCGTCAAACAACACAATTTTTTCTTCAGTGTGAAGTATCATTTCTAACAGCCATTCTTGACAGTGAAGAGGAGGCCGAATTTTTTTTTAAGGTAAGAAATGCAAGCAAGGCAAGGTATGCCTCAAAAGAGGGCAAAAGACACACTTCCGGACCTAAGTAGACATGAAAGGAAAACCTAATGAAATTGGTGCTTTAAAGGAACAACTGCCACTAATATTATTCATTTTGTATTTGAATTCTGCTCATCATCATCATCATCATCATCATCATCAGCCTGACTACGTCCACTGCAGGACAAAGGCCTCTCCCATGTTCCGCCAGTTAACCCGGTCCTGCACTTGCTGCTGCCAATTTATACCCGCAAACTTCTTAATCTCATCTGCCCACCTAACCTTCTGTCTCCCCCTAAGCCGCTTCCCTTCTCTGGGAATCCAGTTAGTTACCCTTAATGACCAGCGGTTATCCTGTCTACGCGCTACATGCCCGGCCCATGTCCATTTCCTCTTCTTTATTTCAACTATGGTATCCTTAACCCCCGTTTGTCCCCTAATCCACTCTGCTCTCTTCTTGTCTCTTAAGCTTACACCTACCATTTTTCTTTCCATTGCTCGCTGCGTCGTCCTCAATTTAAGCTGAACCCTCTTTGTAAGTCTCCAGGTTTCTGCTCCGTAGCTAAGTACCGGCAAGATACAGCTGTTATATACCTTCATCTTGAGGGATAGTGGCAATCTACCTGTCATAATTTGGGAGTGCTTGCCGAATGTGCTCCACCCCATTCTTATTCTTCTAGTTACTTCAATCTCGTGGTTCGGCTCTGCGGTTGTTACCTGCCCTAAGTAGACATAGTCTTTTACAACTTCAAGTGCATTATTACCTATCTCGAAGCGCTGCTCCTTTCCGAGGTTGTTGTACATTACTTTCGTTTTCTGAAGATTAATTTTAAGACCCACCTTTCTGCTCTCCTTGTCTAACTCCTTAATCATGAGTTGCAATTCGTCCCCAGAGTTACTCAGCAATGCAATGTCATCGGCGAAGCGCAGGTTACTAAGGTATTCTCCATTAACTCTTATCCCTAACTGTTCCCATTCTAGGCTTCTGAAAACTTCCTGTAAGCACGCGGTAAATAGCATTGGGGAGATTGTGTCCCCCTGCCTTACACCCTTCTTGATTGGTATTCTGTTGCTTTCTTTATGAAGCACTATGGTAGCAGTTGATCCCCTGTAGATTTCTTCCAGAATGTTTATATATACTTCATCTACGCCCTGATTCCGCAGTGTCTTCATGACGGCTGATATTTCTACTGAATCAAATGCCTTCTCGTAATCTATGAAGGCTATGTATAGTGGTTGGTTATACTCTGAGCATTTTTCTATTACCTGATTGATAGTATGGATGTGGTCGATTGTTGAGTAGCCTGTTCGAAATCCTGCTTGTTCCTTTGGTTGATTAAATTCTAATGTTTTCTTTACTCTGTTAGCAATTACCTTTGTAAATAGCTTGTATACTACAGAGAGCAAGCTGATCGGCCTGTAATTCTTCAAGTCCTTGTCATCTCCTTTCTTATGTATTAAGATGATGTTAGCGTTCTTCCAAGACTCTGGTACTCTTCCCGTCAGGAGACACCTCGTAAACGGGGCGGCTAGTTTTCCTAACACAATCTGTCCTCCATCCTTCAGCAGATCTGATGTTACCTGATCCTCACCAGCAGCTTTGCCTCTTTGCATGCTCTCCAAAGCTTTTCTGACTTCTTCTATCATTACTAGTGGGGTGTCATCTGGGTTACTGCTAGTTCTTATAGTATTAAGGTCGTGGTTGTCTCGGCTACTGTACAGATCTCTGTAAAACTCCTCCGCTATTTTAACTATCCTATCCATATTGGTAGTTATTTTGCCTTCTTTGTCCCTTAGTGCATACATTAGACTTCTGCCTATCCCAAGTTTCCTCTTCACTGTTTTGACGCTTCCTCCGTTTTTCAGAGCACGTTCAATTCTCTCCATGTTATACCTTCTTACATCGCATACCTTACGTCTATTAATCAACTTCGAAAGCTCTGCCAGTTCTATTTTGTCTGTTGTACTTGACACTTTCATGATTTGACGCTTCTTAATTAGGTTCTTCGTTTCCTGGGAAAGCTTGCCAGTGTCCTGTCTAACTACCCTACCTCCAACTTCCACTGCACACTCCGTAATGATACTCGTCAGATTATCATTCATTGTATCTACGCTAAGGTTGGTTTCCTCACTAAGAGCCGAGTACCTGTTCTGCAGCGACACTCTGAATTCCTGTACTTTCCCTCTCAGGGTTAGCTCATTGATTGGCTTCTTGCGTATCAGTTTCTGTCGTTCCTTCTTCAAGTCTAGGCGAATTCGAGACCGTACCATTCTATGGTCACTGCATCGTACCTTGCCAACCACTTCCACATCCTGCACGATTCCTGGGTGTGCAGTCATTATAAAGTCTATTTCGTTCTTATTTTCGCCATTAGGGCTCCTCCATGTCCACTTGCTATTTACTCGTTTTCGGTAGAAGGTATTCAAAATCCGTAAATTATTGCGTTCTGCGAATTCTACTAGTAGCTCTCCTCTGGCGTTTCTGGTGCCGATGCCACAATCTCCTACTGCTTGGTCTCCAGCCTGCTTCTTCCCTACCTTTGCATTAAAGTCTCCCATCACTATAATATACTGTGTTTTTACCTTACTCATTGCCGATTCCACGTCTTCATAGAAGCTTTCAACTGAAGCATCATCATGGCTGGATGTAGGCGCGTAAACCTGTACTACCTTCATCTTGTATCTTTTATTCAGTTTAATTACGATACCTACCACCCGTTCATTAATGCTATAGTATTCCTCTATGTTGCAAGCTATGTTTCTGTGAATTAGGAACCCCACTCCCAGTTCTCTTCTGTCTCCCAAGCCCCGATAGCAAAAGACGTGCCCATTCTGTAGCACCGTGTAGGCCTCATCTGTCCTCCTAACCTCACTGAGCCCTATTATGTCCCATTTAACACCCTCTAGCTCCTCGAATAGTACAGCTAGACTTCCCTCACTAGATAAGGTTCTAGCGTTAAACGTTGCCAAGTTCAGGTTCCAATGGCGGCCTGTCCGGATCCAGAGATTCTTAGCACCCTCTGCTGCGTTGCAGATCTGACCGCCGCCGTGGTCAGTTGCTTCGCAGCTGCTGGGGACTGAGGGCCGTGAGTTATTTGACGTATGCATGTGGGAGGTAGTGGCCAGATACTGCACCAGGGTGGCCAATCCTTCTCTGGTGAGGGAGTGCGTTTCCGGTGGTGGTTACCGGT